GATTTGTTTTTTATTCCTATTGTCATTTATTAGGAACATTAGCTTGGTGTGATGTGAAAAGCCGGATCCAAAGGACCCTCAAGTCTTTTTATTGGAATCAGTTCTAAATCGCAGTGGGTGACTTCTTTTTATGGTTGCCAGCTGTAATGGCACCAGTCAAACTAACCACACTACTTAGCCTGGAGTCTAGTATCAGAATATGCTATAAAATAGCAAGAATCATGTTTTTTAAAAAGTGAGAATATTATTCTGTTGGGCAAAACAGCAGCACACCTCAATCACGACATAGACATCTTCTAACTACAGACAGCTGGAGGTTCACCAATACATCATTTCTTCTCTAACTGCTTCTCAGCATCATCATCATCATCCTCACATAATAATATAAATAAGTTTGTATGTTATTTTTATATATTTAATTTTATTTATTGGATTCATTAAGGCTGCCCAATTCCAGGAGGACTCTGGGCAGCTTTAACAATTTTTTATTTTGTCAAGTAACACCTGAAGCTGAGATCAAATACTTCGCCAAGGAAATTCAGCAAGTTCATAAAAGATACAAGATTCAGACTGGGAAGTACTCAAATTGTAAGTCCACATCTTATATACTGTGCAGTATGGATGTGCAATGCTTTTGTTCAAAGATTCAGTTAGAACCCAATTTGATCAAATCACTCTTTTGTGATTTCCTGGAGAGTATTTGGGGCAGAAAAGTACTGGCAAAGCTTCAACACATAATTAGCCCTCTTCTATTGGCCAGACATAGGGTCACCAGTTTCAAAATGGCAGATGTTCCCCCTTTTAATAAGCATCACATGCACATTAAAAGGAGTAAGGCTTCAATCACCTGGTCATGCCCACCATTCTGAAGCCAGTGACCATCACTGCAGATCTCCCTGGCCAGGTAGGCAGCACTGGGTGAACAGAAAGAAAGAGGGGAAAACATATATATCTAAGGACGAGGAAAAAAGCCTCCACTTCATTCCAAACACTCATCCCAAGCAAAACTACAGCCTCTACCCTAACCTGGGATACCCTCATTTCAAGCCAGTCCACCCCACTTATCCTGTTCATGTCCCTCATCCTTGCCCAGGGTCATCCTCTTGGCCGACACTCCACCAATTAAACCAGCTTCTGATGATGTTACCTAGCTGGGTAATGAAATGTCTGCAAGCAAACAGCCAAGCTCAGAGAGCACCAAGAACTCAACTACGGATACTCTCTTTTATTGAAACCAGCTTCTCCCAATGGCCCATGAGAAACACAAACACAGACACTTTGCAAAGAAAACAAAGTCTTCAGTAAGGGAGAAGAGAAAGACGGAGCAAAGGAGGCAGCCATCCCTAAGTACAGCATTCCCAGAAGAGGCTCTGTGCCACTCAGGAGTAGAGGAAAGGAAGACAAAAGGATCAAATAATGCAGGGCACAGCTCTAGTCTTATGAGTTGGTGACATATTGCATGCATGCATGTGCGTGTATCTGCATCTGCTGTATATCTATATCTATACCTATCTATTTGCCTGCCTCTCTCTCTCTCCCCCAAAAACAAAGCTAGGACTGTTGGGCCCTAGAAAAATGGGCAGCAGACATACTCCCCCGTCATCTAGGCTCAGCAGATAGTGTCCTAACTAGACTCTGCCAAACTGGGAGAGTCTATTTCCCAGTCACTTCTTGACTATTGATATCGTGAGCCCAGGAATCTCAAAACAAGTGACCTGCCCTTCCTCCCTACCATCCAGTGGGATGGCCTGAGCTGGGGCATCTCAGAGTGCAGATAAAGCATAATTCAGCAATACATTCCTGCAAGAGACACCTTGGAAGCTAATTCCAGATGCAACTTAAGGAGGCTGTGTACAGAAATGGCATCTGACTTTCAGGTGACCAATCTCCATTCCATCATTACAGCTGTCAGGTAAAGTTAACACATCATCTCACAACCTATTGTAGAGAGTCAGGGAGACGACCCTGAAAGAAATAGGGAAGAACAGTTATATAAGCAAAGAGGGCTGAAACATTCCTTAAGTACAAGATAGTATTCAGAAGAGACTCAGGCAGGCTCCTCCCTGATTCACTGGGGTGTAAGAAGGAGAGGAGGTAAAGCACAATCAGGCTTGACAGATTATATTATAGGCTATCTCAATGAAGTATGGTTCTAGTCTTCCTGTGGACTCTGTTTCCTGATCTGGTCTACTCTAGAAGGATGGTATTTGTGGGCTTACTCTTGCCAAATACAGGGTTTGGGAAGGAGGGAAATAGTCTGGTGGCAATAGCAGCTGACCTACAGAAGAAATGGTATTAAGTCATCAACCATGTCCCCCAGGATTATGGGGCTGATCAGTTTTCACCTGCATGGCAGACTAACTGAAGGGAAAAAACGAACCTCCTCCAAAATATTGCAATGTCATGAAAATGGCTGAAAAAAACCATATACATATTCATGAAATGCTTCTTGGTATCCACCATAGCATGACATGGTTTCTGCTATAGTATCTGTGGCCATGATCCTCTGGTGCCAGGATAGTAGTTCCTTTTCATCCCCCACCATGACGACATCTGTTAGGCTAAGTTCATTCAGGAGAATACACTGTCTCACAACCTATAGACTTACTCTTGCCAAATGCATGCTTTGGGTAGAAGGAAATAGCCAATGTTGAATGGCAGTTTAGTCAGAATCAGAGTCAGCTTGCTCTCCAGAGTCTGTAAGCCATGGGAGCTATCTGGTCAAACCTTACATAAGATCTCCAGAAGCTGGCAAAGAGACACACATACTCCCACTTGCTAATCTGCTGCAATCCCACAGCTCCTATCCACAGAAGGAACCAAACGTAGCACCTTCCATTCTTAAATGATTGCCCCAAACTGCAGAAGCAGCTGTGCCTGGCTTGACCGAGTGAGGAAATTGCCACTCTTCTCCCTTCCTTAACTCTAAAACTAGGAAGTTGACAAGTTAGAAAGAGAGCAGTGCACACATCAAGTAAGCTCACATCACAATCTGCAAAGATGCATGCTTAGAAAGGCTTTAGACTGTCTCTTGAGTGCAGACAAAATGCCCTTTGCAAGGCAAGTTTGCAAGGCCACAAACAGAGAAGAAAGAGAGGGGAGAGAGGGGAGATTACCTTGCCTGATGTAATTGTAAAGAATCCTTGCTCTCACCTACTAAGGAATGCAGCTGGAAATTTTAAATTAAAAATGCTAAGGAAAAAAGGATCTTGTTTGCTAGTTTTGATGCTTGTTGTTTGAAGAAAAGAATAAAAAATTCTGGAGTCTGCCACTGAATGTCTCCAAGAGGTTCAGAATTTGTAAACACACTGAAAAACAAGCAAACAAATAAACATTTAACATTTTAATAAAATAAGTAATAAAAGAAGAAAGACTTAATTAAAATGTTGGCCTTTTCTCCCCAATTGCCTATTTGAATAAGATGGTATGGTACAATTAGGGAGATTCTATTTGTTTTATAATGAATTTTTATTACCGTAATTAACCGTGTGTTTATGTTTTTTTTAACAATCTCCTGCTGATCTTTATTAAAAAAAACAAAACAAAACCTCACAAATTACTCATTACAGTTCAGTTCCAGAGTAGCTCTTTGCAGCAAGAGCCAGCAATGGCTGTTGTGACGATGCAGATGAACATTAAACACCATGCTCAATTTAGTTTTCTCTGCCTTTTTCAAACCTAAAGCAGAGTGGAATAGGTCTCCCCTGAAGACCACAAAAGGCAGCAGAAGGCAATTCTGCACTGCAGTCTAAGCTGCTTGTCTCCCGTGCAGCTCCTGACAGTTTCTTAAGCCAACTTCAGAAATCCCAGACTTGATTGCAGTGGGTTAGCAATGGGGCCAGGCTGGGGCTCAGTCTAGACTATGGCCACCATAAGACATACATGCTCATTCCCTGCTTCTTGCCTTTCCCGTCCATGCAGGGAAGGCAAGGCTCACTGGCTGCCTCCTGGGTGGACCAGTCCCCCAGTGCCTTCCTTTTCCTTTTGAGGATTGTTCCCTCCTTACTGGTGCCCGTGCCTTTCCTTTGCTTTCCCACATGTTTGCATACATGGAAGCCTTCGCATACCCCTTCCCACATATCTCCTTTGATATGAATACACGGCCTTCCTTTTCTTCTTTTTTCCCCCTTGGGGTGCCATCATTGCTCTGATGCTACAGTAATCGCAGCAATAGGGAACAGGTTGCTCTTTCTTCTCTGTGTTCCTTTGTAGGTCCATGGAAATATTTAGCAAGGAAGAACTGATAATTCAGCTTCATGTTCCTACACTGCAACTTAAATTGTTTAAAAAAATTAAGGGAAGGGAAACTTTGCAGGACTGGGGGAAGGGGTGAGAAAGCAAGGGGAACATGCTTCACCCAGCCTGGGCAGTATTCAGAAGGGTACCCATTGGGAGATGTAAAGGTTGAATGGAAGGTGAGCTTCTTGCATTCTATTCTGAAGGACCATCTATTCTGAAGGGCTTAAGGCATCTTGGGTCAGAAAACAGCCGTTTTAAATGGAAGCTGGAAAACCCAGCCATGGGGTGCATTTGCAATGGACTGGGAGTGGAAGGGGATGACATCATCTGTTCCTGCAGGAAGCCGTGAGTGGCCCATAGTGGCAAGGGACCAAGCACAAAATGCAGATCTGCCCAGAGAATGGTTGTTTAACTCCTTTCTGGACTTTCCTGCTAAATATAGTGCTTTTCCTTCTTTTTCCTTCAATTGATGAGATGCTAAAATCAATTATGAGTTTTCTGACCTTTACACAAGTACAATGTTCTGAAGATATCCAAAACTCATTAGTTGCCTTGATTCATAAGCATGAAGATAAGTAACAAGTGTACCTTAACCAAAATAGCTCAGATGATTAATTAGTTCTGAAACACACAAACCATATCAGTAATGACCTGCAAAAAAATATGATAAAACATTTTCAAGGTAGTTAAACCCAACATTTTGTTTGTTGCTTTATTAAATCAGACTAGAGTTATGATAATTATGTTTCAATTAGTTTTCTCTGTGAAAAAGCCAAAACACAAAAACAGGCACTTGGTTTTTTTTTCTTATCATATCCTTCATAGAATTGAATTCTGGGATTAGAATCAAGACAATATAAAAAAGTTGTCTTAAAGATCTTCCTGCAGTTTAGGAAAATTAAGATTGAGCCACATAAGAGTTAAAACAAGGTTAGGATTTGGCATTTCAAACTTTCTTCCTAGTCAAATAAAACTGCAGAAGAATTTATTGTTTATATTTTTCTTAGTGAAAAGTAATTGCATTCTTGGAAAAGGAAATTGAATCATGAATGGAAAATAAACCCCCCGGATCTGAAAATTATGTAATTTACCTGTCTTAAGCAGCTGGCTGCATGGCACTGTTTCTACCATAAGCACACCTGTAAAATACATTCAATTCAGGGACAGAATCAGACAAATGGCTTTTTAATTTTCCATATCCATCTCAATCTTCACACCATTATATTTGACTAGGAACGATGTCGAAGAGAAACAAATATCCATACATGTCCAATTTGTCTAGCACACTCCACTTGCTCCAAGTTGGGATGATAAATCCTGACAAGCCATCTCAGAATTCAGTTTTATCTGAGCATTTCCCCCCTCCCCCAAAATAAGTTATGCTTATAATATTGGCTAAATTTACAAATATACTACTGATTTAAAAAGCCAACAGCAAACCTTTCCCCCAGATTTACTGGGCAAGCATTTTCCATTTGGAGTAAGTGGTCTCAAAAGATATTAGGTTGTAAGCTGTGGAGGGTTTTAAAGGTGACAATCAATGCCTTGAATTGCGCCCAGAAGCCTAATAGTAACCAGTGTGGCTCTTCAAGTAGAGGAGTTACATTAGCAAATGACACTGAACCCATTACTCCTGAAGCAGCTACATTCCAGACCAGCTGAAATTTCTGACTGATCTTCCAGGGAAGCCCTCTGTAGAACAAATTGGCACAAGTGACTGTCAACAATGCCTCCTCATCTAAGGAATACCTGTAGCAGATGCACAAGAGGAAACTGTTTAAAGAAGATACACAAAGACCTGCTCTGCGCTGGGAACAATCCCAGACCAAATATGGAACTCTACTGGTACTGATTGGATTCCTTACCCCAAGCAGGTTCTTCTTGTTAGGATTGGTCTAAGCCTGATCCTCCCCATCCAGAGCCTAACAGCCTCCAGGCGCTAAGACAGAGCCTCAACTGCATCTTCTGTTTGCAGCTGAGTCAAAATGGAGATTTCTCAGGGGGGGAAAAGTGGTAAAATTAATCAGGCAATGCGTTGAGAATATCCAAATTAAAAACCAAAGATCTAATACTTTCTGTTTATTATCTACTCATAGAAATCTGCCCTGGATTGCTTCTTTCCTGAGTTCTGGAAAAATCTTGCCATTGCACTTGTCTTCTTTCCACATAGGCAATCCTGCTCTATACCAAAGGATAGCTTCCAGCAAGCTTTTTCCTGGCTAGTTAACTTCAGTTTGGGAGAGGACTGGAGGAATGAAACCAAATGCCTTCCCTACAGGGGAAGGGATTTGATTACAATCACTTCTGTGTGTGTTCTGCTCTAATGAGCACCTCTGAAGCTTATGTTTTTAGAGAAGCCCATTAAAATATGGAGAAATCATTTTGCTACATGTTTCTTCTATCCTGTAGACTCCATATTCAGTATCTGTTAAACAAAAAGAGAAAAACTGATAGGATGCTTTTACCTACCTATACCCCTTCCAGGTTCATGACAGAAGGGTAGATGGAGTCAATCTCTAACTTACAAGCAAATAATTTACACCAGCTGTAAGTTGCTATAAATTCTATATCCATCCCAATGTTGAGGGGTTCTGACTGAAGTGTGGGAGCATTTGGATCCTAGGAAGGCTATCCTAACCATAGGATTGTATTCTAAGAATGCCAAGTTAGAGATTTGAAAAAGAAAGTGTTATTTTTCTATCCTACTCAGCTTCCAGCAGAAGCAGATTGTAACAATTTTGAATTGAATGATTCTTTAAACATTTTATTTGGTATTTCAAGAATAAAAATAAGTCCCTTTTCATAAATAATGTTATTCCAACTATTTACTATATATGGCAATCTAGAAATTCAATATCAGCTTGAAAACAAAATATTTGCTTTCATGACAGGCAAAATGGTAAGTCAGAAATACAATATTGTCTTACCTCTCACCTTTAGCAAACAGTATCACTCATCATAGAGGGAGAATTATTTTCTGAAGAACAAATAAAAAAAAGAAACTTTGAAATTAATCTGCTCTGCATATGCTGCAGGGACTCCATTCTTCACTTGCCATTCTTATACACTGGTAGTGGATTTGGTGAAGAAAATTATCTCAGGCCTTCTGAGATGTTGTGGGCTTTTTATCTACACCTTGTCAGAGTTCTGCTGAGAGACAAAACTGGCTCTGAAGGGCCTATTCTCTTACAAAAGCAAAGTGTCAACACTACTCTAGATTTTCAATCTGGTCAAATATACCTGAAAGCAAAATAGAAAAGATACCATTCTGAAATCACTCACTAAGTAAAAAAAAATCTAAATAAATAAACTATGTAAAACCCTCTCAGAGTATCACTGCATTTGTAGAATGAAGTGCTAAGAGCAGACTTTTAAGATCCGTGCAACAACTGACCTGTGGACCGACTTACCTACCTACCTACTACCTACCTATCTATCTATCTATCATCATCTATCACATTAAGATAAATGTGGTTACAATTTCTTGGTTGATTAAAAACCCTGATTGTGTAGCATTACTTCTATAGGGCAGTGACCTCTAGCCCCTGGCCTAACTACAGTTTGCATGACTGAAATTTGGCATTAACACTTTTGATTTTCGGTAGAATTTCCCACCTTTTTTGCACTAAAAAAGGGCAAAATATGTGTGCTGAGGCTCTGCAAGTTTTAGCATACCTATCTGTATTCTAACTGCCCAAGAAAGAAAGAACAGGCTGAAATTTTGCTGCCACTGATGACACAGATGCATTACTGGACACACCTCCTCCAGATATTAGAGACCAAAAGAAAAATAGTAATTTTAAAACGTACAATATGCAGGCTCAAAAGTATTTTCTGCCCCTGATGTAGGGGTTTTGGCTACATTCACATGAACATAGTTACAGCATGTCTTCTGATTTTTCCTGTGAGAGATGGGTCCAATGCACATATTTCCATGGTCCCTTTGTGCTTCTTATTCATAACAAATAGTTTGGGCTCCTGTCAATTGGTATGTATTCACCTACTGTATATATCTATCCCATTCTGCTTCTACATTTAATTAGGAGTTTTAATTTTTAAAAATAGCGCACAGTTGAATCAACATTTAAAATGTAATTCAAAACCTATTTTTTAATCTCCAAATACACATATCGGGCAGAGCAATCCTACCTTCGATTATGAAGAGTTCTGATATCAGAGCATTTAATGAATTCCCAAACCATACTGGCAGAAGAAGCAGCATTTCCAATTTTTGATTTTGATTTGCCTTCTACCTGAGAACAGTTTAATTTTCTGTACAGTACTCCCTCAGGTTGAAACCAATGGGAAGCAACTAACCCCAGCCAATCCCAGGATCAGTGTAACTCAGCCAGCAGTTGGAGAATTGCCTGATGGCCAGATTCTTACTGATTCACAGCGTTGTTTCTCCACTGACATGGCACCTTTTCCCATTTTGGAATATTGGGGTGTTGCTGTGGACAACAACCACAGACTTTTTTGTCTCAGTTTTTTTAATCCAAAAATATTACTCCCACAATGTTTACCTCTCAAATTATATAAGCAAGAACTTAAAGAGAAGCATCAGGAAATGTTTAGTAGGTTCAGATAAGGTCAGTTTGTATCAGCTTGCCAGCTCCTCTAGCATCTATTAAAGGCTAGGTCTCATGTCATCATGACAGCATTGTGGCCTTAGGATGCTCTCCAACCTAAGATGTCATGTTTGTGCCTGAACACCACTTTGACCACTTGCTCCCATGCAGAATCAGCTGTACTCAGTGTGGCTGACTTGGAGATGTCTTGGTGGTGAAAATGCTTGGAAGTTGATGTAAGACAGGAAATGGCTATATCAGGATAGGTAGTCATGAGTGTATAGTCCCACATGCAAAGAAATCTGATATCTACATACTTCGGCCCAACTGATTCAAGATTAAAGAAGGATCAAAGCAAGCTAGACCAGAGTTCACAATTATGAACACACAATTGAAGAGTATTAAACAAACAGTGTGAACATTTTTGTTTACCTTTTGGAGTATAGAGCCTAAAATGAAGGCATAATTAGAATCTGCATAGCGGATGAAATAAGTGAAGGAGTTACAACTCATCATTTTTCTCTTCAAGAAAGTTTGGTATTTCTTTTTCTGGCTTCCATCTCCCCCTCTCCCCCCCCCCAAAAAAAGACAATTGGTTCTGAGAACTCAAGGTGACTTTTTAGTTTTGTTTTCATTTAAAACTGCAGTCTAATGTACCACAGACCATCCTTCTGTTGAAAAGGAGAGTTTCAAAAGCCATTTACAGTGGGGCAAAAAAGTATTTAGTCAGCCACCAATTGTGCAAGTTCTCCCACTTAAAAA